ACAGGCTTACCTGCCTGATGTGGGGCTCAGTCCTGGGACCCCAGTATCATGACCTGAGCCAAAAGCAGATGCTTAACCGACTGAGCCACCCAGACACCTCTGATAAGTAGTAAAGATGGGGTTTTGTGTGTATGTCTTCAGTTGTGCTCCTTTAGTGAAATGATTAACAAGATACAATTCTTTGTTACTAATCATACCGGATTAGGAGAGGTAACTTGAAAAGCAGAAGCTAGAGTTCATCAGCCTACCATCCTCCCCCGTGCCATGCAGCCTCAACCTATGAAGGCACACTCTTGATCTCATGTTTCTACTGTACACTGTCAACGTATGGCTAATGTCTAACACAGTCTCATTAGTTACTGTGAATGCTGCCATTGCTTGTGCACAAAAGTAAAAAAGAAAAAAAACATTCACTCCAGTCATGAGCTCTTAAAGAATTCTAGCATCAGCTTCTGAGAAACCCTGGACTAGATTCTGGGACCTCTGCCTGCATTGTTCTCCAGGAACTGAATGTGTCTGTGCTTGCCGGTGGAATCCAGCAGCCTTTCAGTCTTTTAAATCTCTCCCAAATGATGAGATTGAAATTGGTGGATTTAAGTCACAGCTGGTGTCTGGGAAATTTTCTTTTTTTTCTCATAGTACAGGACAGCACACTAAATGGAAATTGGGATAGGTATTGTGTACCAGTATACTATATCTAGCGTATTGTTAGATTTTTAAAAATGAAGACTTTTTTTGCTCATTTGTGTAATAAAAGTTTCTCAAAGCAAGTCTTTGAAACATTGGTTGGGGACGCCTGGGTGGCTCAGTGGTTGAGAGTATGCCTTCGGCCCAGGGTGTGATCCTGGAGTCCTGGGATCAAGTCCTGCATTAGGATCCCTATGAGGAGCCTGCTTCTCCCTCTGCCTGTGTCGCTGCCTCTCTCTCTCTCTCTCTCTGTGTGTGTTTATTTATGAATAAATAAATAAAATCTTTAAAAAATAAAACATTGTTTCACTCATTTAAAAGATTTTTTAGCACCTGCCATGTGCTGGCTTTGTTCTAGATAATTGGGAGGCATTTGGTAAGCAAAGCAAATTTTTGCCCTCATGGATCTTTAATTCTAGCAGGGAGATATAGATAATAAGCAATACACAGAGTTTATTAATCAGTTGTCTAGTTTATAAAGTGATTAAGACTAGTGAAATATTGGCCAGTGAGATATTAGGTATTAAACCTTGTGATTTTTTATTTGGATATATCAAGAACCTTGGGTTGCTACCACTTTGTCCTCAAAACCTTGAGGAAATGAAGGAACTCATTTTGGTTGCTTTTGTCATCATCAGTGGTGATAAGCTGGTAAGGGACTGGGATGAATTTGATTACAGGACTGATATATATGATTTAATGATGCATCTATTGAACATTCAGAAGCTTATAGAACTAAACTGTTCCCTTAAAAGTTGTTTTGACACATGTTCATATGTAATCAGTTATTGAATAGTACAGTTTTCAGTGTTCAATTCTTTTTGAATTGTCCTGTATTAGAAGGTGATAAGAGCTCTGGAAAGACAGTAGATTCAAGCAAGGGGCAATGGATATATTGGAGTCTGAAGGTAATTTACAGAATTAAATAGATTGGTTGAAGTAGGCTTTATAGAAAAGGTGATACTCAAGCAAAGGAAGTTTGGAAATTGGTCAGTCATTACGATTTCTAGCAGAACATTTCAGGTGGAGAAAACAGCTCGGTCAAGGTGAGAATTGGAGGAAAGCAAGGAAGCACAACCAGTGTGTCTAGAGCAGAGTGAGTGAGGAGAGTTGTAGGTAGAAGATGAGGTCAGGGAAGGGAAGGGGTGGGGGTATTCCCCTAGGGCCCTTAATGCCACTGAAATGGGCATCATCTCAGGACTTTGAGCAGAGTGGTGACAAGATTTACCTGAGGATGTTTTTTTGTTTTTGTTTTTTGTCTCTTTCTTTTCCCCAAGGGTTTAAAAGGATTAGTCAGGATGTTCTGTTGAGAATAGACTGTAGAGGGGTGAAGACAGAAAGGAGACTAATTAGGATGATTGGTTTGTCCATGGTAATAGATATGGTGAAGTGATCAGATTCTGGATATATTTTGAAAGTAGAATTATTAGGTCTTGCTGATGGATAGGGTGTGGGATGTAAGGCAGGAGTCAAGAAGGATGTTAAGGTTTTGGACTGAGATTTAGAGGATTGTCTTTACAGTTAGAAAAGCTGAGGTGAGAGCACATTTAGGAGGGAAGAGCAAGTCAGATCAGTTTTGGTTATGTTGAGTTTGTGATATTATTAGAGATCTAAGTGGAGATGTTGGGTAGTTATGACACTGGATGAGGTCACCAAGGAAGACACTGCAGTTCTAAAAGGACGAGGAAGAGCTAAGCTTACTTATTAGGTCATTCAGTGAAGGAAACAGTATGGCCAAATGAAGAAAGTATTTCCAAGAAAAGGGAGTGACCAGTTCTATCAAATGCTGCTGATAGGACAAGTAAGATGAGGACTGAGAATTGACAGTTGAATTTAGGGACATGGAGGTTGCTGGGACTGACATGTGTTGGGGACAACCTGACTGGAGTGTGCTTAGGAGGGGAAGAGAGGACTTGTTTACTGTGTGTACAAACAACTCTGCTTTCGGGAGGGATGAGAAATGGGACAGTAGCTGGATTGAGGAAATAGGAGCAAAGAGTTTATTTTTTTCTTCAAGACATGGAAATAACAACATGATTTTATGGGGATGAGAATGACCCAATAAAGAGGAATGAGTAGATTATACCTAAACTTAATGGTCAGTTTTTATAGTTAGGCCCTTGTACATAGTCTCAGTTTCTTTGCGTCTTTCTTGCTTTGTCACACTTGGTTGGCAAATCTACAGACTTGCTGAAATGCAGTACTTCTGCCTCTAAGTGCCTGTTTGTGTTACATGATACTATGATGAACACAAACTTTTAAAATACAGAGTTTTCATGTTCTCTGGGGGCACTCTGGCTTTAGGCTATAAAAAGGGACCATAAGGGACATAGTGGCTTAGCTCTAAGATGATGGGGTCGAGAGCTGGCCTTTTTTCCTGGGAGACTCTTTAGTCCCAGAAAGCAGAATTCTTTGAGGTTGTTTCTTTGGTGAAGATTATTTGTCAGGAATTCTGTGACTGGCTGTTGAACATTTTCCACAGTGGTGAGGTATGGGATATTGAAGAGGTAAGAAGTTACTTAGAATTATAGAATTTTCATTAGCTGTTGAGCAGTCTTTTCCTCTGTTGTGCTTGGCATCTCCATGTCCCTGGGTTCCAAGTTCCCTGAGTTCTTCTGGACAGGATACCTACCCTCTGGACCCCCCCAACCCCCCGCCCTGACTTTAGTTTTACTTTTATCACTGTGGGCTTAAACATAACTTAATTTCTCTTTATTACTTTGCTGTCTACTTTATTCTAGTCCTCAGAGGGAGAGGACATGAATGCCTATTGTCCAACTATTATTTTATTGTGAGTTGGAAGTTCAAATCATTTCTTTAACTTTTGAAGTGGTTGTGACGTAAGGTAAAGCATTAACCTTTCCAACTATCAGCTCTAATAATAAGAGTCACAGTAAACTTTTAATGAGATGTGCTATTAATGCACTTTTAGAGAAGGTCCTACCACTCAACAAGTAGAAGTAACTTAATTAACCTTATGTTTATGGCAGCAGTAATGCTTTTGAAATCACATAGGATTTTTTTCCCCCTCCTTTGGATTTTTGATTCTTAATTTATTTGGAAAGGGGAAAAATTACTTTTTTGTAGTCTTTTTTTTCTTAAAGTCAATTAATTTATTTAAGATTTTTTCTTTTTTTTTAAATTTTATTTATTTATTCATGAAAGACAGAGAGAGAGGCAGAGGCATAGGCAAAAGGAGAAGCAGGTTCCATGCAGGAAGCCCGATGTGGGACTTGATCCTGGGACTCCAGGATCATGCCCTGAGCCAAAAGCAGATGCTCAACTGCTGAGCCACCCAGGTGTCCCTAAAAAGTCCATTAAAAGAAAGAATTGTCAGCAGTTTTAAATTTCTTGCCGACATGAAGAAGTCCATGTAATTTTTATATGTAATCCTAAATTCATGTTTTCTTTCTTATAATTGAGTTAATGAGAAAACTGAAAAAAAAATCATGTGTTTTATTGAAGTGAAAGTTAATTAAAGAAAAACATCCAGAATACCTGTAGCTTCTAAATCTACTACATTCTTTTGCATGTTTGTTTCCCTTTAAATATCATTATACTAAATATTGTATAAATATGTGAGAAACTTGTTGAATTAGCATTTTTTTTTTTTTACATCTAGTGATGCACCAAAATTCTGCTTCAGTAAGCATTTATATATAAAATTAAAAGACGTCTCAGAGTTTTGTTTTGTTTTTTTCTCTTTTTGGGGGGGTGAATAGTTACAAAATAAATCTGAAAAGTTGTAAAGATTCTATGAAACGAGATTTAAAGTTTTAAAGTGTATAATGTGTACTTTTTAATGATAAAACTTTTATTGACTGAAGGAAAATATAAAGTATATTAAATGAGATGATTTATAGGTAGTTTTTACTGTCTAAACAATTTGTTATTAATAAGTGTTCTTACATATCTACCAGTATTTGATCACTGTGTGAGTAGTGGACAGTAAGTACACTGCTGTGGTTTGTTTATTCTAAGGAGGAATATAAAATTGGAAAAAGATAATTTGAACTGTCTTAAAAGAAGTCTTAACACTAGAGCATATACTATTTTAGTTTTTTTTTTTTTTTATTTTTGTAGCTCCAGGATTTTGATAACAATTTACTGGCTGGTTTTAGATCATGTAATTGTCACACATTTTTGCATATTGAGGTAACTTGCCAGAAACACATAAAAATCAAACGCTCTCCTTTGGTTTCCAGTGTTATCTTCTGTTGCTCATAATAAAAACTTTCAGTGGCATGGCTTTTATGATATCTAATATATGGAAACAGTTGTGTGTTTAATATCATTAACATTTTTTCTTCTAGATTGTCTGCAATGATGAAATGAAGTAAGTCAAGATGAGCAAGTTAAAAGTGATATCAGAAAAAAGGTACTGTAGTGCTAAATACCAATATGTGTCAGTTATGGAAATAATACATGAAGTGGTTATTTGAAACTCCTTATTTGAAAGTATTATTTGTGTTTAAATAATTGCATGTTGTATTTATATATTTAAACTAATATTTATTAATGCTTAAATTTTCAATTAAAGCAGGAGTCAGCAAACTATGACCCATAGGCCAGACCCCATCTACCTCTTGTTTTTGTATGGCCCATGAGCTAAGAATAGTTTTTAACGTTTCTAAATTTGGGGGGGGAAATAAGAATATTTATGACACATGACGTTTATATGAAATTGAAATTTCTGTGTACATAAATTAAGTTTTCTGGAACACAGCTGTGCTCCTTCATTTATTTATTGTCTGGACACTTGCTCTGCTGTGGCAAAGTTGACTAATTATTGACAGAGACTGTATGGTCCATTGTGCCTAAAATATATACTGTCTGGTACTTCCAGAAAAATTTTAACTAATCCCCTGAATTAAAGCATCATCTCTATTAAAGCTCTTATGTACCAAGAAATTGTCCTTATTAGCAAGGTTTTACTGTGGATTCTTTCAGTTAAAAGTTAGACAAACTGATTCCGTTTTGGAATTTATTTTTTAGCTAGATTGCTTAACACTGTTAAGTCTCTGTTTTCCCATCTATGTAATGAGTATAATAATAATGCTATATTATGAAGTTGTGAAGATAGTGTGTAGCAGGCTAGTAAATGACAACTTATTAATATTGGTAATCAGTTTTGCTTTGTAGCAGTGTTGTAGGTTATATTTACATTTTTACAACTTTGCATTTACAAGTATGGTTTGACTCTTAAAATAAGTAGATACAGTTTAGATAAGATTTGTTCCTTATTTACGTCGTTTTCCAGTTATTAACTATATAATACATTATAACAAATTTCATTGTTGAAGTATTTTTATAATTTGTATAGGAAAGGAATTAGGGACTGATTGTGTTTTATTTATTTTTAAATTTGTCTTTTGAAGATTTTATTTATTTTGAGAGAGAGAGAGAGCAAGGGGGGGTTGGTTTGTGTGGGGGAGGGGCAGAGGGAGAGGGAGAAGCGTGTTCCTGGTTTAGCAAGCAGGGAGCCCAATGTGAGGCTTTGTTCCAGGACCCTGGGATCATGACCTGAGTCCAAGGCAGATGCTTAACTGACTGAGCCACCCAGGCGCTCCCAAATTTTAAAATCTTTATTTATTTTAAAAAAAGTTTATTTATTTATTTATTTTAGAGAGCAAGTGTGTGCGAGCGAGTGGAGGGAAGTGCAGAGGGAGAGAATCCTGAAGCAGACTCCCTGCTGAGGGCAGAGCTGCACGTGAGGGTGGGGAGGAAGGGGTGGGCTCCATCTCATGACCCATGAAATCATGACTTGAGCTCCGTAGGTTATCTCAGACTTGGTTTTTGCTCAGCTTGTGATTTCAGGGTTCTGGGAAGCCTGCTTGAAAATTCTTTCCCCCTGCCCAACCCCCCCCCCCCCATGTGCACTGTGCCTGCTTTCTCTCTCTGAAAAATAAATAAATAAACCTTAAGAAAACAAAACGAAAAGAAGGAGCACCAGCCAGCCACTTTTTGGATTAGGTCAAATAAGTAATGGTAGTTTTGTTGATTAGCTAAAGTATCTAAAATTACTAGATTGTTGTTCCTCATGAATAGCAAATTACAGTTTGACAACTTCTGGCTCCTAGTATTGGTTTTCACTTTTTTCTCCTGAGATAGATTTTACTGGGTATTTATTGTTATTTTTGTCGCTGTTTTAGGCTAACTAAATTGAGATCACTGTAAGTGGCCTTCATCTAAGAGAAATGATAAGTTCTACTAATACTTGTCATATTGCTCTGTGAAGAAAGCTGGATGCAGAAAGATGAATTGAAATAGAAAAGGGTCAAAATCTCTCTTTTGACTTAATCTTTTGACTTTATTTTCTCTCATATACCTCCTTTCTTACGCAGTGTAGAATCCACTATCTGTCATTACACTCTTGAAAAGACCTGAGATATCTTTTACCTGACTTTGTATTTTTCCCTTACATCCATCCGATGAAGCCCTCTGGATAAACCTTTATTGAGCAGCTAAATGATGTTGGGAGGGTGAACTAACTTGCAAGATAACACTAAAAATTACTGCTCTTTGGCTTGAACTGAGCCCAGAAATCTTGCAACTGTGGTTTTCTGGAAAAGTTTATTTTCTCAATTTTTGTAATGATTATTTTATATTTCTTTTTACCCTTTAAGCCTTTGAAATCCTCAGATGTCTCAAATACAGACCCTCAACAAATGGCTTTCCCTCATGGTATCACAGAGATAATACAATCTATTATCCTCATGTATCTTACACCTTAAATTTATGTATTCCCCTTTATTTGATCCCATCTTCTGCTTACCCTCCTGTTATTTATACTCCAGCAGAGAATGTGTCTCTTTTCTTGTCAGGTATTAATACTGACACCAGTGTTCATTGATTTCACCTCCCTCCTTTTTTCTTAGGCTCTTTTAATCATTTATTTTTCTGTCTTGACTCATTTACCGCTTTATTCCTTACTATTTAAACAAGATCTGGGCTTCCCAGTATAGAGACTCTGTTCTTCTGATATGTATATGATTCCCTTAAAAACCAAAAAATTTGAGATAGTCTGAAATGCAATCTACATCTCATTTCAGACACTCCAACCACTCCTGTGTAGTTTCTGCCTTACGTGGTATACGAGGAGTACTTACTAAGGCCACCTATAATTTTTAAACAAATTTACTGAGATACAGTCATCATGCAACAAACTGCACATAGTATAGTTTGGTAAGTTTGGCTTATGTATATCTGCAGAATCATCCTTTCAATCAGTTGGTTTTGTATCTTTGTCAAAAATCAGTTCATGTATGTGTGGGCCTATTTTTGGACTCTGTTTTATTCTACTGATTTAGATGTTTATCTTATAGTGCTGATACTTCTCTGCCTTGGTGACTTTATAGTGAGTCTCAAAATTAGTGTTGATCTACCAGTTTTGTTCTTTTATTTCCAAAATTGGGTCTATTTTAGGTTTCTGTGCATTTTCATATGAATTTAGCATCAGTTTTATAATTTCTACACATTAGCCTGCTGGGATTTTTACTGAATTGCCTTGATTCTATAGATCAGTTAGGGGATAACTGAGTGTTTTTTTCCCCAAGACTCTATTTATCTGAAAGATAGCACAAACAGAGGAAGCAGCAGAGCAGCAGAGGGACAGGGAGAAGCAGACTCCCCACTGAGCAGAGAGCCTGCTGTGGGGTTGATCTCAGGACCCTGGGATGAAGGCAGCTGCTTAACTGACTGAGCCCCCAGGTGCCCCAGGGAGACTGTTGATACCTTAACAATACTGGGTCTTATTACTCTTGAGCATAGCATATTCCTTTTTTTATAGTCATCTTTAATTTTTTAAAGCAATGTTTTGTAGTTTTCAGTGTACTAGTTTTTCAGGTTGTTTGTCAGATTTGTGTTTTCCGTGAAAATAACGGTTCTTTGGGGGGTCCCCAATAATTTTTTAGTGTAAAGGTATCATGAGACCAGCCCCCCAATCCCTCCCCACAAAGCTCCAAACATGATTGAGAACCTCTGACCTAGCCTATACTAACTTTTACATTAAGCTAAAAATGAGGAATGTGATACACCAGAGTGGCCATATGTCAGGGCAAAGCAGTTAGCCACAAACATGTACTTAAAATCCCAGTGGAACATGACCAGAGAAGTTTTAAAAATAATGAATATAAAATAATTAGCATTTAATTAGCTTTGGTGAAGGAATTTAAAGGATAACTTGACTAATTATTGCTGATGGTACTTTAATTTAGACAGTTTAAAATTTTAACAAGCTTTTACTGGTTGTCCGTAACAAGTCACTTGGTAGTGTTAAACTAGAATTTTTGTTGAAGAAGCCTTTTCTGCATTTAATTACAAGAAGTAGTCAGAGAAGTAGTTATTCTTCTCTTCCAGTTAGAAGATTATTGTTTTCCAAACTTACATATTTAAATATTTAACACTTTTTACAAAAGAATGATAATGAAGTTTCTATTTTTCATTGTCCTTTGATTTATGATGGAAGAAAATAAAGTTGTATGTTTAGTATTTGGGGAGAAATAGTAAAAATGTAAATAAAGCAAAAGTAATAAAAGCAGGTTCAAAAAGACCTCTAAATGAGGAACCGATATTTCTGAAAGATAATATGCATTTTGGAATTAAAACCTTACTGTTTGAAATTAAATCTTAATTTCTGTGTGTCATCTTTAAGTCTAAAACTTTAGTGTATTTCTATAGATTTTTTCTGCTGAGATGTTTTTACCTTTTTTTTTTTAATGAGGTTAGCTCTGTTACCTGCATTTTAAGGTAAAAAAGGTAATAATGATATGAAGATAGGTTCTATAGTGCTTACAGTTGCTTGGGAAATTATTTATTGCAAAGGTAGTATCTGTACATCATTGGGACTTTTGTAATATCCAAGAACATTTATGCTTTATTTATTTATTTTAAGTATTTTATTTATTCATGACACAGAGAGAGAAACAGAGAGAGAGAGAGAGAGAGAGAGAGAGAGGCAGAGGGAGAAGCAGGCTACATGCAGGGAGCCCGTTGTGGGACTCCATCTCACGTCCTGGGCCGAAGGCAGGTGCTAAACTGCTGAGCCACCCAGGGATCCCCACATTTATGCTTTTAGAAAAATAGTTCTCAGAGTAAATTGAAACAAAGCAGTAGGAGACCACTACAATGAAAAAATATTTGATTGATACTGTCTTGTTTTTTAGAGATTTCATTTAGAGAGAGAAAGAGCGAAAGAGTGAGCGCACAAGCAGGGGGAACTACAGGCAGAGTTAGAGGGAGAAGCAGGTTCCTAATCCCAGACCTGAGTCTAAGGCAAATACTTAACTGACTGAGCCATCCAGGCATCCCCTGCGTGATACTGTTCTTAAAATATCCATTTGAAAGTTAACTGGATTTGATGTATTTCATATGGATTAT